TAAGTTATAAAAGTTACCGTTGCTGACAGTAGTAAGAGCTGAACATAGAAGCTGTTTATCCTTACAGGCAGCATGCAGAGTAGATAAATTTGTCGTCTGACCTGTCCTTAGTTGCATATGTGTTTGTTATGCCATATTTCTCTGATGTGAGAGACCATTCAACCCCTCGCTCAACACTGTCCACAAAATGGCAGAACAGAAAGAAGCTTCAGCTTTGCTTCAAGACTCTCCCGGTGTTGAAGGACTTAAATACACTCAGAGTGCCCCAGTTCATGACAAACAAATTCAGAGAGATGATACTACTTCTGTTTCTGGTGCTAGCAGCTCCGTTAACGTCACTGACGACAGCATTATGGTCTACCCAAATGGCGGTATACTGGATGATGACGGAAACAGTTACCAGAAATCATATTCCCATAATCCTCTTGAGGCGTCAGACAGATCAATGGCTGAAACTACCACAACGTAAGTATTTTGCTGTGGTTTAGTACCTTTTTCTGTATGAGGGTACCAAGGAAGGTATCATGTGTTGATCTATAAACTAATTTAACTATCCTCTAGTACCGAGTGAGTTAATGATGTATTTTACATTGTCGTGGAAGCCACCATGCTGTAGCAGATGCTCGCCTACAGACCTGAAATAAAATCTCAATGGAGCCGGACTTTTGTCAAAATAGACTTTGGCTCCCAGGTTGACTCAGCCTAAATGGGTACTAGGTAGAGTTATGGGAAGTAAAGGCGGCCATTGTCATGCTGACCACATCACCCATGGAGTGCTTCATCATCTCATCTCATCTCGTACCTTGAGGTGTCATTTGCTGATACCCGCGTTATATGGCCAAACCATTTCGCCTGTTGTCTTCTAAAGAAATCCAGAGCAGCTGCCACCCCCGATTCAGCTTCAGATTTCATCATTCCTGATCTTTTCTCTTTTTGTTATATTTAGAGCCTTTCATAGGGATCTCATTTCAGTTGCTTTAGTTTGTCTTTTCTCTTGTTTCTGTCATTGTCCAGGTTGGGCCATGATAACACTGGGTTGGTAATAGATTATGCAATAGAGTGCTCTTGTTGGTTTCTACTGACACATAGTTGTTTTTTAGTATTGGTGCCATTTGCCCAGTGAGTTGGTTTGCTTTGTTACATCTGTCATCAATCTTATCTTCTTTTTTTGCCAGATGATGATATTAGGCTTCCTTTGTATTTGAAGTTCTTGGTTTTTTCTGAGGGTTTTCTGTAAGCTGGATATTTATTGTTTTGTCTGCTTAGGCACTGATCATGACCTCTGTTTTATTTGCATTAATTTAATAAACTGTGCGCCTGTTAGTCTGTAAGTATGTGTCCAGCATTCTATGCCTGGTACACCTGAAGGCATGGGGAAAAGGTCCTTTTCTTGACTTACATATCCTTTATTATTTTTTGGCTCTTGACTCTTTGACATTTAATCTCTCTTTCTCTCTCTCTCTCTCTCTCTCTCTCTCTTCTCTCTCTCTCTCTCTCTCTCTCTCTCTCTCTGTGTATGTGTGGGGCGCACTGTTGGCATTTTGTGTGTGCTTCTTTGAGAGATGCAAAGCAGAATAAAGACATTAAGGTCTGAAGATAGATATTCCAAGGAAGTAGAGAGAGAGGATGAATGAATATAAGGTGTGACAGATGCCTTAACAAGACAAAACTAAAATAATGACAAATAATTTAGCTCGTATAAATACACCATTATATGGTAAAGATCACAAACTGGAACAGGTCAATCAATTCTGATATCTGGGATCCATTCTAAGTAACCTAGAGGCTAGTGCATGTATGCACATTTCCACATGCACATATATACACACCATACACACACATACACTTTCACATTCATAAGAGACATGTCTAGACTGTTGCTTTGGCTGTGTTGTGTACAAGATAAGCTGTTTGATGTGTATGTTACAGCGCATATGTCAGTGGCTTGTTCTATGTCAGGGCATGCCAGAGTGTTGGGAAATGAACAGGCAGTAGAGTGGCTGGTTCTGCACCACTTGTTGATAAATTGTTGCATGACAAGCTAGAGGTTGTAAGGGCTCTTTGCGAGGAGTAAACAGTGAGGAGGCATAACAAATAGATCATCATGGTCTGAAGAGAATGGCTCTACGGGGAGTGACCAGGGGATCTGGCCGACACACAAAACTCAGAGGGAAAGGTGATACAGACATTCGATCAGACTGTTACTGGCACTATCGGAATAGGAACTCTGTGCTTGCTTACTACTGAAGATGGAGATTGATCACTTATGGGAATATCCTGAGTGCTATGATGTTGGCTAATAACTCATAACTTATGCTTATGTTAGATATGTATGTATTCTAATACTGTTTTTATATGCAACACTAGTCATACTAATTCTAATAAAATTAACATACTAATAGCACAGTAGGATTTGAGGCGGGTGTTTAAGCTGTTGTAATTACACTGTATAATACATGTTATTGAATAAGACCTTTAACAGAATGAAGGCACCGCCACATTTGATGTGGCAATAAAATAATGAATAAATTACAGAAACATGAATCATGTAGACTTGTGAAAGTATAATGAGATTAATGTTGGCTTGTGATAAACAGCTAAGCTCACTGTTTGAGAGAATTTGTGGTGGTAGTAGTAATCTGAGCAACAGTATCCTGTTCAACCCATTTCGGTTATAATTCCAGTTATAATCAAGAATGGGAGGTATGGGAATGTTGGTTGCAGCAGATTTGGTCTCAACATGGTGTGATGTTGAGTGCTGTTTGATGTTGAATTTGTACATGTCTTCTTCTTTTCTGTGTTCACCATCTGAAAGCTCTAGCGGAAAGTCCTCGTTGTCTGTCCATCTGGACTTTGGCTGTGTGCCAGGGCCTCAGTTTATGCAGTGTGAACGACTGTGAATCTAACTTTTTTCCTGTCTGAATGTGTTGATTTTTTCAGCGTTTATTGTGTCATCATTTTCAGTGGGTTACTTTCGTTCATTCATGTGAAATGAACACTAACCCTAACACCCATATACTATGGGATTTTCCCAGGAAATCCCCACAAAATCTCAGAGGCATCAAGGTGGGGTGAAATAAAAATAAAGAACTAAGTAACCTAGTAATGAAGTGAACCACTTGCTTGTCTATCACAGGAATCTGCAGACTCTGATGCATCTCCTCAAAGGCAACATTGGGACAGGAATTCTTGCATTGCCAAAAGCTGTCAAACATGCTGGTCTGTGGGTAAGTGTCTCCATTCAAACATGCTGGTCTGTGGGTAAGTGTCTCCATTCAAACATGCTGGTCTGTGGGTAAGTGTCTCCACTGTTTCTTGCTGTTGACCAGGCAGGTCATGTTCAGACCCACTGTTTCTTGCTGTTGACCAGGCAGGTCATGTTCAGACCCACTGTTTCTTGCTGTTGACCAGGCAGGTCATGTTCAGACCCACTGTTTCTTGCTGTTGACCAGGCAGGTCATGTTCAGACCTACTGTTTCTTGCTGTTGACCAGGCAGGTCATGTTCAGACCTACTGTTTCTTGCTGTTGACCAGGCAGGTCATGTTCAGACCTACTGTTTCTTGCTGTTTGACCAGGCAGGTCATGTTTCAGACCCAGTGTTTCTTGCTGTTGACCAGGCAGGTCATGTTCAGACCCACTGTTTCTTGCTGTTGACCAGGCAGGTCATGTTCAGACCCACTGTTTCTTGCTGTTGACCAGGCAGGTCATGTTCAGACCCAGTGTTTCTTGCTGTTGACCAGGCAGGTCATGTTCAGACCCACTGTTTCTTGCTGTTGACCAGGCAGGTCATGTTCAGACCCACTGTTTCTTGCTGTTGACCAGGCAGGTCATGTTCAGACCTACTGTTTCACCAGTGGAATGAACTTTGATGCTGATAGTTTTACTAGCATATTTCTCACTTTCAAGGTGTTCATTTGTGTATGCAGGTCTGCTGTGTGTGAGGGTTTATGTGGAATCTGCAGAGATGTGGCTTATAGACACCAAGGATAGATTAACCGACTCTCTGTGTATGATGGATATATCCATCCACAACTTTCTACAGCTGAAATCTGGTGGGTATGATGGATATATTAATCCACAACTCTCCACAGCTGAAATCTGGTGGGTATGATGGATATATTAATCCACATCTCTCCACAGCTGAAATCTGACAGGTATGATGGATATATTAATCCACATCTCTCTACAGCTGAAATCTGGTGGGTATGATGGATATATTAATCCACATCTCTCCACAGCTGAAATCTGGCAGGTATGATGGATATATTAATCCACAACTCTCCACAGCTGAAATCTGGTGGGTATGATGGATATATTAATCCACAACTCTCCACAGCTGAAATCTGGCGGGTATGATGAGCTTGTGACTTGTACTGTTGAGTTTGTTAGAATGTTCTTCACTTTCTGGAGGCACTGCATATTGGTCTTGAGGTGTTTTAGTCCTTGTTTTAGCTACCTCAAGCAGTTTCATACAGCTTGAAACACATCTCCCCAGCTCCGATTTTACTTGACAAACTGCTCACATTCTTTAGTAGTATAGGTCTTCAGGTCACCATGGAAGTTTATTCTTAACTGTTTTGTGTATTATAATCATTCTCGCTCAGAGCCACAAGAAAAAAAAAGCTTTGTGTCTGTTGTCAGTTGATTGATATGTCAGTAGACAAAATTAAAACCTTGATGGGAATTTTCATTCTTTTACTTCATTCCTGTAACAGCGTGTTAATTTGAATCAAGGATCATTTTGCAGTCACTGAAAATCAAGTCTTTTGACCAGAAATATTACAGAAAAATTCTTAGTTGCATGGTGCCATACTGGATAATGGATCCAATACCATATGTAAAGTGAGTTAAAGTTTTGGTCAAGTCTATTCCACCTGTAAAGACAATAACAAGATGTTAGGATGAAGTGATTGTTCTATCAGTTAGGCAGAGTAGAGTGTGAGTATAGGTTTGCCTTAAAGAAGCCCTACTTGATCTGACTTGTCATGCTTCCTTTCAGACTGGCTTTGCTGGCATCTTGTGTATAGGAACAATTGCCGTCCACTGTATGCACATACTAGTCAACTGTAGCCACAGACTCTGTCAGAGGTCAGTTTATGGGGTTGTGTTTTTTTTTTACTGCAGAAGCTGCAAAGTCATTTGTTTTTTGTTTGTTTGTTTGTTGTTTGTTTGTTTGTGTTCACTGGATGTAAACTGTGATAAAAATCCTGGTTGTTTCTTCTTGGCCTTTAGGTCCACCCAGCGTAAAATGGGTACTGAAAATATTCCGGGAAGTAAAGGCAGCCATTGTGATAGTGACCACATTATCCATCGAGTGTCGTTTCCTCTATGAAAATATAGTTCTAGCACCATATGCACAAAGGCCTGAAAAATGTCCTTGACTTTAACTCTTTCAATTCCAAAGCACACAGAAGCTTGTGTTTAGTCTTTCCCTTTCTGTCTTGTAAAATCACTCAGTACTTCCCTGACTTTTTCATATCTTGTCATAACAAGAAAATTTAGCTTCTACAGTGTGTGCTTCCAGTGTATTCAACCAATGTGACACTGATGCGCTCATGATGGTGGTTATTACCTGCTTAGGCGACTTCCCTGGGACTGAAAGAGATAATATGAGAATTTCTTTTAAAATGATTCAATATATCTATTTATCCATCAATTATCTCTGGTTTACAATGGCACAGATATTTATCCATCAGTACCATGTCATTTCAGCTGATACATCTGTCAGTCTGTTTGTACTATCGTTTGCCAGATAGTCTGTTTTCTCTCAGTGCCATGTCTTTTCAGCTGATATATCTGTCAGTCAGTTTGTACTATCGTTTGCCAGATAGTCTGTTTTCTCTCAGTACTATGTCATTTCAGCTGATACATCTATCAGTCAGTTTGTACTATCATTTGCCAGATAGTCTGTTTTCCCCCGATTCCTCTTTTTTTTCCCCCACCTAAATTGTGTTCTTTTGTTCCTATGACATAAGGTCAGTATATTGATTATGTATATTTTTAGCCCGTTAGCAGTGAAAAATGTCGTTATTGACAAACAGCGAGTCGTCACTTTTGTTTTATATTGTTTCAAAATCTGGCAGCACTACTCCTCATGCAGGTTTTTGGGGGGAGGAGGAGAATACACCCACTGTCCCTGCTGTAAAAAGTGGCTAATTAAGGGTTTTCTTAAATCAGATCTGTGCCTTGAAAGGTGCAGATATCGCAGCCTAGCTGTGAACCAAAACACAGTATGCACACTGATCTTTTGAGTGTGAAAGGAGAAAAAGATTTCACATTATACAAATATCTGTCTCTTGATATAGCATTATTTCAAGTGAAAGAAATATCTGTCATTTGGTACAGATGGTACACAGATCTGTCAGGAAATGATACACATATTTGTTAATTGTTTCTGTTTAATTAAAGTTGTATTAATTGTTCCTGTTTCATTAAAGTTGTATAAATAATTCCTTTTTCATTTAAATGGATTATCCCCTTGTGGGTTCCGGGACTCCATTGTTGGAAAACAAAAATAGATTCTCTGCCTCCCTAATAAGCATCTTGTGAGGGTCCACTAATTAGGGGTTTCCTTAGAAGTCAGAATGCATCTGCCTGAGAGGCAGGGAACTAACAGTCTGCACACAAATAAGCCAGATCCCTAAAAAATGGATGGGCGCACAATGCTCAAGTTCTGGAAAAAGACTAAAGTTCAGAAGGGGAAGAACCACCAGAGTTTACAGCTGGTGAGTGTGAAGAAGAAGAAGAAGAAGCAGAAGAAGATTTAAACTGATAAAGATATTGCTGTAAAAAATAAGAACGTAATCAACCCATTTTAGGCTGTATCCATCTGTTTCATTAAAGTTGTCAGCATCAAAGTGGCCACCTAATTGCCCAGGACTTTTTCATTTTAAATGGATTATCCCCTTGTGTTTTAAGGGATCTTCCATTGTTGGACCAGCTGGCAAGTATTTATTTAGTCAGTACTTGGCTGCTGCTTCCAGATATTTGTTGACTATTGTGTTTCAAGTGTTAATAACATACATCCCCAGGTCGGGAAACTTGGCCCTAGACTATGCTGATGTCATGGAGGTATGTCTGAAGACTGGGCCACAGGCATTCAGGAGGCTTTCTAAAGGTGCCAGGTTTGTGAATCCATTGTTTCTTTGCGCCTTTGCCAGAAGGCAGTTGAACACCACAGTCTGCACACAAATAAGCCAGATCTCTCTCCTAAAAAATCCCGCTCTCTCCCCTTTAGTCGCACAATCCCATCTACCTCAAGTCCTTGTTTCCTGGAAAAAGACTAATTCCATTAAACATACAGTGGAACCTCGCTTCATAATTCGGGAAGAACCGTTAAGCGAAAACCAGTTATGCGAAATATTTTTCCCATATAAATTAATGTAAAATACTAATGCGTGAGTCGAAAAAATACTTAGAAAAAGAAGAATGAATTCAAAGAAAATTATATACATATTTAAGGAGAGTGAATCATCTTCATCTTTTCTTGAAAAGCAGAACAAACCCACCTGGAATGCAAATTCGATTTGCAAAAAAAAAAGGCGAAATAATTATGATACATAGCTAATTATTAATTTTTTACTAGAAAGATGTCCAGAGACATTTGATGTTGCCAAAGAGTCACAATTTGTCGGAAATGCGACACAGAATTATCATTAAATAAATTTGCAGCGCGAATAGCCACTTCCTTATTAGGGTAATGCTTCTCAGTGTAAGATGCAACAGCCAATGCTTAAGCATTTTCTTATTTCTCCAGAAGATTCTTGCCTCAATATGGATTCAAACCCTCCAAAACCTTTGGACCAATGCAACTGGCAAGCTGTGCTTTCCACAAGTTCTTTATCACTGTCCACCTACACGATAGTGGCCAAAGCGTTGCTACAGGTTCCAGATATCTCGAACACCTGTTACAAATAGATAACTCTTCGGTGCTTTCAAGTTAGGGTGGTAATAACATACCGCCTTTTCGATCAAACCTGAGGCAGACTATGCTGATGTGGAAGTGATTTTTTCCAAAACTCTTTGAGAGTGATGTTGGTCCCTTCAATCACCTGAAAACAAGGCTCGAAGAGTTCTTTAGTGTAGAGCTTCCAGTTGTTTGCTGGTTGGGCGCAGTGGTGTTGAGAGCCAGAAATGGATCTTGAAACTTAAATTCTTCAACAGGTCACCTTGAAGACCATTTTGTAATGTGCATTTTCTCTCTCTCAGGCAGAGCTGAAAATGAGAGACACGTTTTAGGAAAATTTGGATTGGGTAATAGAAATCAGGAGAAAAATTAATTGAATTTTGCATCTGAATTAACAATAGCTAACACACTCTATAAACTCACCCTAGAAGGCTTTTCACATGGACATCCTCTGACGGTGTTACCAAAAATCAGATAGATTACATTTTAATACAAAGAAGATGGAGATCCATAACATCTGCAAAAACCCTGCGAAGTGCAGATTGCGATACAGATCATCAGTTTACTAGAAGCAGATCTGAAATTAAAACTCAAAAAGCTTACCCGAGGACCAAGGCCATTTCGATTTTGATCTCACAAAAATACCAGATGCATACATCGTAGAAGTGAAGAACCGTTTTGAGGTCTTGATGTCTGTACAAGAGGAAATGACACCTGATGAACTGGCGGTGGAAGCTAGGGATATCTTGATAACAGCGCTAAAGACTTAATACCCATTCGACTAAGCAACAAAACCATGGATCACACCATACACGTTAGAACTAATAAAACAACGAAGGGAACTGAAAAAGAAAGGAGAAACCAATGACAGTAGGATGAAGTATAAATTTTACACAAGAAAGGATAAAAATCAGTATGTACAAGATGCTGTATTAAAATAGAGCAGCATAATAAAAATGGAAGAGATTACGAAATGTTCAAGGAAATGAAGTTATTGACAAGAAATTTTCAACCTCAGTTAAATGTTATTTGTGACAGGTTGGGAAATACTTTAACAGAATCTAGACAAATTCTAGGAAGGTGGCAGGAATACTGCAGCGGAATGTAGATATGAATGACAGTGAGGATATGAATGATATACATGAACCAGTAACAGTAGAGGCAGAACCTGAACCTTCATTGATGAAATTTCATGGGCAATAAGAAAAAAAAAAACCTGGATGTGATGAATACCATGAATGATTAAACAAAGCATAAAAATTAATGCATTATGTTACTATGGAAAAGATTTGGCCAAAAGACAGAACATTTGATGGTGCCAAATTAGTCACAATTTGTCGGAAAATGCCCGATCAGTCATGCAAGTAAAATTCTACTAAAAATTATAATGAGAAGACTAAAGGAAAATGGAAGAAGAGATTAATGTAGCTCAGGCTGGATTTAGACATGGAAGAGGAACAAGAAATCATATATTCAACATGCGTTTAATAATAGAGAAGTGTAGAGAATTTAATGTAAATCTGTTCTTATGTTTTGTGGATTATTCAAAAGCAGTTTTGACTGTGTACAACATCAGAAGCTTTCTCCATCATGAGGAATATTGCTTTCCATCACATATAGTGCAGCTCATTAAAATGCTCTATCAAGACCAACCTCAGAATAGATGGAGAAATCTTTCCTCCAAAACTTCTTGTCACTGTATTTGAACCTGTACGCCAATGAGAAACTCCATAAAAGAACAATATGATGCCCTAAACATAGGTGGTCATGCTACCAGAAATTCGTTATGCTGTGATACAGTATTACTATCAACATCACAAAAGGTTTAGATAACTTACTAACCTTACTCCAATAGTACAATCCCACTTATACATAGCAAAAACAAAGATAATGCATACAAACAAAACTGCCATGGAGAAGGAAATTATGTTAATGAGGAAAGATTGGAAGTGGTGGAAAATTTCGAATGTCTTGGGAACTGGTTACCTCAAATGGTTACACAATGAAAGATAACGGTGACTCTTCAATTGCTCTTCAAAGACTAAAACAAGAATAAATTATGGAATTTACAGATAGAATTACAAAGGTCAGATTCTTAAGAGCATGCATCTTTCCCATTACATACGCCTGTGAGACCTTTCACTTACTAAACAAGTGGAACAGCGCATAAATGATTTGTATAAATGTTGATTTTTCTAAGAAACTCTTTGAAAGAGTGAGGTCCATACTTCAGTGAAGAGGGTTGGCTGAAAACAATGCTCGAATTGAAATATTTTGTGTCAGAGCTTCTTAAAGTCTAGAGAGAACAATACTGGAGGGGTGCTGCCTGGGAAGAGAGCTGGAGTAACAAGGAGGATGGTTGCAGGAGGCAGATGATCTCCTGGATGGGTGTATCAGACGCAGGAATTCTTCAGGATAGGAGGTCACCTTGTTAAGACCGCGAGGACATGCTCTAATGAATGAAATGAATGTCACTATTTAACACAAGTTTGAGCAAATGTGTGATCACAAGCAACACTACGATGCTACTGGAACGAGTGCTAAACACAGACTGATGTAACATGCACACAATCCGGGACTTCCCTCTCCTAGACACTCGTTATGCGAAACGTCGCTCGTTAAGCAAGTCATTCTTTTACAATTTGTTTTGCTCGTTATGCGAATTACTCGTTATGAGAGATGCTCGTTAAGCGAGGTTCTACTGTTACTGCAAACTGAATAAACATCTTATTTTTAATGTACGTTGTTTTCTTCCATCCATAGACATATAGTCAATGCCCTGCTGATCTTTACACAGTTTGGATTCTGTTGTGTGTACATTGTCTTCGTGGCCACCAATATTCAAACAGTAAGTACACATACATGTTATGGCCACATAAACCTAGACAGTAAGTCAACAACTATACGACATGCAGACAACTGTGAGTCACAGCATCCAACAGTATACGTATAGTTTATGTTTGTCTTCACTCTACAGGTGATCAATCATTTCCATGAAGATGGACCCAGCTTGCGGATCTACGAAGTGATTGTCACGGCTGCTCTCATTCCATACGTCTGTGTCCGGGATCTGAAGATGCTGGCACCTTTCTCTGCATTTGCAAACATTCTGACAATTACAGGTACATATGTACAGATTTGTGTTTATATCTAGCCAATCATTTCTGTCACAAATATATGTGTGTGTGTGAAGTAAAGGTCCCTTTTCCACGCCTTTAGGCATATAGGGCATATAGGGCTAGACCTATATTTTTTATAGACCAATCGGCACAAGATGGGTGATGTGGTCAGCATCTCGCTGGCCGCCTTTACTTCGGGGACAGCACCCGGTACCCACTTAAGGCTGGGTCGACCTGGGAGTCAAGATCATTTTTGAAAAAATTCCAGTTCTGCCAGGGAGCCAACCCATGACCTTCTTATCCGCACGTGAGAGTCTAGCTGCTCTGATACGGTGACTCCCATATATATATACATACATATCATACTATACCATATTTACTCAAGTATAAGTCGATTCCTTGTATAAGACGCACCCTGGTTTTGGACCGAAAATATTTGAGGATTACATAAAGTTATTGAAATCACGTATTATTCATGATAGACTCCAGAAAACTCAACTCTCATCCAAATTATAGTCTTATCCTCATTTGTGTCTGTTGATGAATCTATGGCATCATTTATTGCCTCATCCTCAGTTCCATCTGTGGCATCTTTGATGCCAAACTTTTTGAATGACTTATTGTAGTCAAAAACTAAAAAAAACTGTTAAGAGTGGGAAAGAACTTTTAGTTTTATAATTTTGTTTCCCATTTTATTTCGCCCCTGGACCAGCATTTACAAATAGGGCCCTATATGAGATTATTTTGTAAAAATCATTTGGTAAAATCTACTATGACTGTATAGGAAGCGCACAGTTTTTAGGCCCTATATTTCTGGGAAAAGGTGCATCTTAGGGAAACATGTTGTGAATATGTGTACATATATAAAATTCTCAGGTATTTCTGATAAATGCTTTGGTTTCTCATGACGTACCATGTTTTTGTTAGACATACCAGTGGATCTAATAAAATTCCAGGTATTTTTGACAGAAACCAGCATGTTCCTGATTTAATTTCTGGCTTTTCTGTTACATACTAGTAGATTCGTCATAAAATTCTAATGTATTACTGTAACCTACAAGTAGATCTCTCATGAATTTCCAGGCTTTCCCGAGACAGTAGATCTCATGAAATTCTACCAGTTTCTATGATACAAGAAGTAGATTTGTCATGAAATTCTACATTTTGAACCCCAGCATTGTGTTTTACTGATCTGAAGTTAACCCCTGTTATCTTATTTTGGCTATCTAAAGCTTAGCCTGATCACTGATAGATTGCATTGATAGATAGATAGGTACATATGGAGAGTGGGAGCAAGGAACAATGGCCAGCTGGTCAGTCTGTATCTCTCTCTATCTATCTTTCTCTCTATCTGTCTTAACATAAGGTTCATCGGTTATTGTTTTCATGAAGTTAGAATTACAAATTTTCTACAGGTTTTGTTGTTACATTTTTGCAGAAGTTTTCGTGTGTATTTTTGCTGTGAACTCTGATTGATTTGATTTAAGAACCGACATCACAGCACTCGGGGCAATCCCATAATGAAATTCCATAAGTGCTCTGTCGCCATTTTCAGCAGCCAGCGAAGAGTTCCAATACTAATGGTGCCAGTAGCACTCTGATTAAACGTCTGTCTTGCCTTTCCTCTGAGCCTCGAGCATCTGCCAGAACCTCTTGTCACTCCCCCCCTGCATAAATCTCACCAGACTGTGGTGATCCATCTGCTCCTCTGAACTGTGCATCTTGTCTTCCTGCTCCTCTTTTTCACTTCCTCTCTTACTAATTCAAGTGTTGAGGGAGATAGAAGGTTCTGCTTCCCGCCTTTCTGGCTGCTTGAGCATAAACATAGTACTGATATAGAGCTTCTCTGATGTTGTCTTTCCATCTTGTTCTTGGTCTACCTCATGCTCTCCATGTTTCTCATCTTGTGTCAGTATATCTGTATGTAGTAATGAAACACATCCCTCACATTTACCAGACCATGATCCCAAAAGTTGAGATGTTCTCTGCCATTGTCTGACACCTTAGGTTTGATCATCATCATCCAGTACATAGTGCAGGATCTGCCGGATGTCTCCGAGAGGCCAGCTTTCAGCTCATTCAGTGAGATACCCCTGTTTTTCGGCACAGCCATTTTTGCAGTTGAAGGTATCAGCCTGGTAAGTTCCAGTCAAACCAGGGCACTTGTCCACATCTTCAGACATATTGGGCACATATTGCTAGATCTATATTTTATATACCAATCAGAGCTAGTAAATCTTGTGGTCAACATCATACCAGCCACCTTTGCTTCCCAGGACTTTTACCTAGTACCCATTTCAGAGGCTGCCTTGACCTGGGAGCTAAGGTCATAAAAAAAAAAAGAGTGGCATTGTTCAGATTTTTGACCCCCGACTTTCAGATCCGCAAGCGAGTGTCAAACCACTACACCGCGGTGGCTACATGGTAAATTAGTGATAAGTAATTTTTGGTCAGTGATCACTTTTATGATAATCAGATAACTTCAGTATGGTGCAGTCTCTTTCCTTAGACCACACAAGGGGAATCATAGCATCATATAAAAGCTATGTCGTCAGCAGGTGTCTGTATTCGTGTAAGCCAGGATCTGTCCTCAGTCTGTCTGTCTGTCTACCTGTCTGTAGTCCCTTAACACTGTACCAGTGGATCACCCAATTACCATTGACTGTTCAGTCAGGTCTTTCCATTTGTAGTGATCAAATGGGCTGGACTTTTTGATGTTTTTATGTTTGAGGATTGGGCACCGTTAGGTCTGAAACATTGCCAGAGAACCACCAAGCTAAATTCAATTATTTTAAAACTATGACGCTGTTACCAAGGGCTGTGTCATCCATTAACTATTATCAAGGGCTGTGTCATTCATTAACTGTTACCAAGGGCTATCATCCATTAGCTGTTATCAAGGGCTATGTCATCCATTAAGACAGATTGGTAGAAGACGGTGTCAGCAGTAATATAGACAAAGTTGGAAGGAGAGGGGATCTGATACTGATAATAACACACACCCCCCCCCCCCCCCCCCCCCCCCCGCCCCCCTTCTCAAAAAAAAAAAGCATTCATAGTGCTAGGGAATATGTGGAAGTCCAGACAAGAAATATTCTTTGCCCCAGTTTAAAATGTGTACTAGGAAATGTTCTGGAAGTAAAGGCAGTCTGTTTGATACTTAGCACTACATACGATGGGTGCTGAATGCTCTGTATAAATATGGGACTGCATTATATATCAAGTACACATCAAGGGTGTGGAAACAGGAGCGTACCTGTGTTGGTAAACTATTGCAGTATATCATGTACTACCAGTTTACCCCAATCAGCTTGATTGTTTGTGTCCAACATTAGGTGCTGCCCCTGGAGAACTCCATGCAGAACCCTGAAGACTTTGGGGGCTGGTCCGGGGTGTTGAACCTTGGTATGGTCACCACTGTCTGTCTGTACACAGCCATAGGTTTCTATGGCTTTCTGAGGTTTGGCGAGGACATTGCGGACAGTGTCACCTTGAGTCTGCCTATTGATGACTGGTAAGAGAGAGTTCTTTAGTGTTGTCTTGTTGAGTGGCTGGATAGCTATGATACCTGATGGTTGTGGTTTTGTGATGTTAAGTGCATAGTTGAACCGACTTGTTCATTGACTTTCATCACACTGACTTAACAATTTTTTTTTTTAAGATAAGGTTAACTAAATTTTAATTGCACAGAGTTTGATCTCATATGGTTCCTTCTGTCTTTACAGATTGGCTGGTTGCTCTCAGTGTCACACAAACACAAATTCTGTAGCTCCAGTGACAGGCTTTCATCAGCGAAATTGTAGAATAAATAATAACACAAAATAAAGATAGAAATGTCTCTATGGTTGCAACATTAGGGGAGAAAACAATATACAATCATGTGAGAAAACAATATACAATCATGTGAGAAAACAATATACAATCATGTGAGAAACAATATACAATCATGTGAGAAAACAAAATACAATCATGTGAGAAAACAATATACAATCATGTGAGAAAACAATATACAATCATGTGAGAAAACAATATTCAATCATGTGAGAAACAATATACAATCACGTGAGAAAACAATATACAATCATGTGAGAAAACAATATACAATCATGTGAGAAACAATATACAATCATGTGAGAAAACAAATTACAATCATCATGTGAGAAAAACAATATACAATCAGAAAACAATATACAATCATGTGAGAAAACAAATTACAATCATGTGAGAAAACAATATACAATCATGTGAGAAAACAATATACAGTCATGTGAGAAAACAATATACAATCATGTGAGAAAACAATATACAGTCATGTGAGAAAACAATATACAATCATGTGAGAAAACAATATACAATCATGTGAGAAAACAATATACAATCATGTGAGAAAACAATATACAATCATGTGAGAAAACAATATACAATCATGTGAGAAAACAATATACAATCATGTGAGAAACAAAATGTCAAGCAGTTAGAATTAAATGAAATATAAAATCATTACTGCAGCTTGCCATGTGGGTTCTGGGAGCCAATTGTAGGGAAAACAAGAATAGACCCACTGGTTCCCCAGTAAGCATATCGTAAGAGTTGACTAATGAGGGTTTTCTTTGAAGTCGGAGTGCATCCGTCTGAAAGGCAAGGAACCATCAGTCTGCATCCAGATGTCAGATCTATAAAATAGATGTGCACACAACACTGAGGTTCTGGAACAAGTCTAAAGCCCAGAGGTGAATGAAAAACCAAAACTTTCGGCTGAAGTTTCCAGCCAGTGAATGCAAAGAAGAAGAAGAAGAATTGCTGCAGCAGTTCTAAAAAGTTGAAGGGGAGAACACTTGCAGAGGCTGCAGTATGTATAAGCAGACCTTGGGTATGATGAGCAGCCACATGTAATGGATACTGTCACATCTGAGGATAGGATCACTACAGGAGAGTGACCAGTAGGTAAAGGGAAAAGGGTTTGGCAATGTTAATTTTTCTGCCTGGGAACTGCCTTGGTGAAATGGCAAGACGCTCGTCTGGTTGTGGGTTCAAATCCGAACGAAGCCGGACTTTTACAACAAAAAAAAAATGAATTGCTCTCAGGTCGACCTAGTCTCAAATGGGTACCAGGCAAAATCTTGGGTAGTAAAGGTGGCCAGCGTCACGTTGACCACATCAGAGTGCCCAGTGGTCTGTAGAAAAGTCTAGCACTGTATGTCCAGTACGTCTGAAGGCGTGGAACACGGTCCTTTACGTTTATGTGCTTTATCCGCTCACGATCCTTATTCTCTTTTGGAACTTCATGACTTGTTATTCCCCCCTGTGGTTTCCAGGGTACCATTTTGGGGAGGGGGGGGAATGAATAGACTCAGTGTGCCCCCCCCCCCCCCCCCCCCCCCCCCTTTTCCCCCTTCCCCAGACATCCACCCAACAAGCATGCCATAAAAGGTGACTAAATTAGGGGTGTTTCCTTCAAAGTCAGTGTACGTCTGTCTGAGAGTCAAGGGATGGACAGTCTGCCTGAGAGTCAAGGGATGGACTGTCTGTCTGAGAGTCAAGGGATGGCGAGTCTGCTTGAGAGTCAAGGGATGGACAGTCTGTCTGAGAGTGAAGGGATGGACAGTCTGTCTGAGAGTCAAGGGATGGACAATCTGTCTGAGAGTCCAGGGATGGACAGTCTGCCTGAGAGTCAAGGAATGGACAGTCTGTCTGAGAGTCAAGGGATGGACAGTCTGTCTGAGAGTCCAGGGATGGACAGTCTGCCTGAGAGTCAAGGAATGGACAGTCTGTCTGAGAGTCAGGGATTTTGCGAGTCTGCTTATGAGTGAGGATTATCATGTCTGTGAGGTTGTCAGGTTGTGACAGTCTGTCTGAGAGTCAAGGGATGGATCAGTGTGTGTGAGAGTCAAGGGATGGTGAGTCTGTCTGTTGTCAAAGAATGGACAGTCTGTCTGAGTTTATCATTTTGGAGGGACAGTCATGTCTGAGAGTCAATCATGTTGTGATGTTCTGCCTGAGAGTCAAGGGGTGGACATGTCTGTCTGAGGTTAGGATGGGTTAGTCATGCCTGAGAGTTATCAGGAATGTGATGTTGTGAGGTTGTCATGGAATGGACAGTCATGTTGTGAGGTTAAGGGATGGACAGTCATGCCTGAGAGTCAAGGAATGGACTGTGAGGTTACAAATGAGCCAGATCATGTTGTGAGGTTACGTGCAAGTGAAACTATCAGTTCTGGAAGGTTATCATGAAGTCCTGTTATGTTGTGACACAACCAGAACTTTCCGCCAGAGTTGAGAACCCACATGTGGATGTGTTCATTAGTTTCCTTATGCATTTAATTTTGGTTTTATATTTTCATTACAGGTTATCATGTTGTGGGGTTATCATGTTGTGGGGTTATCATGTTGTGAGGTTATCATGTTGTGGGGTTATCATGTTGTGGGGTTATCATGTTGTGAGGTTATCATGTTGTGAGGTTATCATGTTGTGAGGTTATCATGTTGTGAGGTTATCATGTTGTGAGGTAATCATGTTGTGAGGTTATCATGTTTTGTGGGTTATCATGTTGTGGGGTTATCATGTTGTGAGGTTATCATGTTGTGGGTTATCATGTTGTGAGGTTATCATGTTGTGAGGTTATCATGTTGTGAGGTTATCATGTTGTGAGGTTATCATGTTGTGAGGTTATCATGTTGTGAGGTTATCATGTTGTGAGGTTATCATGTTGTGAGGTTATCATGTTGTGGGGTTATCATGTTGTGAGGTTATCATGTTGTGAGGTTATCATGTTGTGAGGTTATCATGTTGTGGGGTTATCATGTTGTGAGGTTATCTTGTTGTGAGGTTATCTTGTTGTGAGGTTATCATGGGTTATCATGTTGTGAGGTTATCATGTTGTGAGGTTATCATGTTGTGAGGTTATCATTTTGTGAGGTTATCATGTTGTGAGGTTATCATGTTGTGGGGTTATCATGTTGTGAGGTTATCATGTTGTGAGGTTATCTTGTTGTGAGGTTATCATGGGTTATCATGTTGTGAGGTTATCATGTTGTGAGGTTATCATGGTGTGAGGTTATGTTATGATTCTTTGCTTTCCCAAAAACATGCAGATGACACATGTGTTTGTTTACTTCCAGGCTGTACCTGTCCGTGAGGTTGATGTTTGCTCTAGCCATCTTTATCTCCTACAACGTCCAGTTCTATGTGCCTATAGCCATCATGTGGCCTGCAATCAAAAAACGTCTGGAAAATAAATTTTTACGCAAATACGGGGAATATTTTTTCCGTATAGCATTGGTCTTAGTCACATGTGAGTGTATTTGACAGATTGTTTTGTCTTGTCATCGTCAGCTGAGATTGTCATTATTTTGTTCTGTTCCTCTCCCCTGTGGGTTCTAGGGTCCTATTTTAGGAGGAAGAGAATTAACCAAATGTTCCCTCTCATAAGCATGTTGTAAAAGTTGACTTTATTAGGGGAGTGTTTTATTTAAAGTTGCAGTGCATCTGCTTGAGAGTCACGGAACTACAGTCTACTGACAAATAATGCTAAATATAACCAAAAAATGTGACTAGAAATTTCAAGAGAGGGAATGGAAAAGATGCACACAAACACAACTGCACGTGTCTTTTATCAACGGAGAGCTAAATACAGCACGGACTGTGACTGGAAAACTCAACGGACAAGATAACAGAGGTAATAAAAAAATCAGGTCAACGTGAAACCAAGTAGTACATAATAGGGAAAAATTTGAAGAGCTATAATACAAAACAAAATAAGTAAGAAGGCCAATGTAAAAAGAGGTAGAGAAATATGAATAAGTTAAAAAGGAATTTTGATCACAAACGGACATGTTTTACATCTTGTGCAGGAGCTTTTGGAAGTACCAACAGGAATGTCTGTTAGGATCAGAGCCAGTCTGCTTCTGACAAGTTTGTTCATACCACTCTAGTGTTGTCATTAAAGATCTTACGGGTGTTAGTATCAGTCTGCTTCTGTCAAGTTTGTTCATACCACTCTAGTGTTGTCATTAAAGATCTTACGGGTGTTAGTATCAGTCTGTTTCTGTCAAGTTTGTTCATACCACTCTAGTGTTGTCATTAAAGATCTTACGGGTGTTAGGATCAGTCTGCTTCTGTCAAGTTTGTTCATACCACTCTAGGGTTGTCATTAAAGATCTTACGGGTGTTAGTATCAGTCTGCTTCTGTCAAGTTTGTTCATACCACTCTAGTGTTGTCATTAAAGATCTTACGTGTGTTAGTATCAGTCTGCTTCTGTCAAGTTTGTTCATACCACTCTAGTGTTGTCATTAAAGATCTTACGGGTGTTAGGATCAGTCTGCTTCTGTCAAGTTTGTTCATACCACTCTAGTGTTGTCATTAAAGATCTTACGGGTGTTAGGATCAGTCTGCTTCTGTCAAGTTTGTTCATACCACTCTAGTGTTGTCACTAAAGATCTTACGGGTGTTAGGATCAGTCTGCTTCTGTCAAGTTTGTTCATACCACTGTAGTGTTGTCACTAAAGATCTTACGGGTGTCAGTATCAGTCTGCTTCTGTCAAGTTTGTTCATACCACTCTAGTGTTGTCACTAAAGATCATACGGGTGTTAGGATCAGAGACAGTCTGCTTCTGACAAGTTTGTTCATACCACTCTAGTGTTGTCACTAAAAATCTTACGGGTGTCAGGATCAGAGCGAAGAATGTTAAGGTGACGATAACAGATTGTAGACACAGCCAAATTATTAAGATGATATGTTAAAACCAGTTTAGGTCTATCAGGAGCAGGTTTAGGTTTAGTGGGCAGTGCCTCTCTCAAGCCATATCTATAAACACACAAGTGTGAGTGGCAATGCCTCTCTTAAGCCACATCTATAAACAAGTGTGAGTGGGCAATGCCTCTCTCAAGCCATATCTATAAACAAGTGTGCATGCAAAACTCAAGTTCTGCAATAAGATTAAGGTCCAGGAGTGGACGAAGAACAACTAAACTTGTCTGCCAGAGCTGATAGATGATGTAAGCCAAGAAGAAGAAGTTCTGTTCCGCAAGGAGCAGGTGGTGACAACAGTGTTGTCCGTCAGACTGCTGCCTGGTGTCTTTTATAGGTTCCTACAAGTAAGATAAGAATAAACTCCACAGGGGAGCAAGTACAGCAGGGATCTACCAATTGTCAGTAGAAGTAATCTCTCGTCGACAAACGTTTCGGCCCACGAGCTCCTAGACATTTTCAGAGAATGGGCCCACCTGAGTTCATGAGGCTCAGGGTTGGTTTCCCTGCTGCACGAAATTACCGGATGGTGTTCGGACAGGGACAAGACGACTTGGTGATTTTGCAGAAGGTACTGTGAGATAAGAAGTCGTCGCTGTAGCATAATTAGAGCAGTCTGCATACCTGGACGACCGAGCGACAAGCTTACAATTGGTATACCGGACACATGTTGGACTTTTGTTAGCAGGTGGCAGAGGAACACTGGCAGACAACTCAGACACGATGGACTTTCAAGGGATGAGAAACTCTTTTCCACTAGACACCCGGACCAGCTCACCGAGGCCCAAGAGCTATAATAACTGCTCGTTATGTGACATATGCTTACACACAGAGGCACGCACACTGATACAACACATACAGACACAAAATGCAGAGACACAGCACATGTGCACATACAGAACACATACACGTACACACACAAATATAAATACACACACAACACATAAGCACAGATGCAAAACACACAGAGACATATCTCATGCCACAGACACATCACATACACACAGTATCTCTCTCTCACACAAACACACACCAACACAACAACCCAGTCACAGTACACTCACAGATTTAATACACAAATACAGCTTACACAGAAACAACACAAACACGACACAAACACAAAGATAAAACACTTACACACAGTAACAATATACACACACAGACACAGTACACAAAGACATCATACACATGACACAAAACACAATCACAGCAACACATAGATGCCACATACACATAGTCACAACAAATATACACAGACACAGCATCACAAACACACACAGATACAACACAACACTTAGACAGACATACACGACAGACAAACACAGCCACAACAAACACATGCATGCACACACACACACAGAGCATATACACACACAACACTTAAGGATAATGGAGGTGGGTGATATCTGCACCTGTGAACCTCAGTGGCTCAGAAAGCTGAAGAAGAATGAGCTTTTATGCTTCTTGTTTTTATTTTTAAATTGTTCACCTGTGTGTTTTCTGTTGACAGTTGGGTTTGCTGTAGCCATACCTCACCTGGATCTGCTCATCTCACTGATAGGAGCCTTTGCCAGTTCTGCCTTGGCCCTGATTCTACCAGCCATCATCGAAGTAATTACCTTGTCCAGCGAAGACCAGCGCCTGCCACCGTACATTCTCGTCAAAAATGTTTTGATATTTCTGTTTGGCATTGTAGGCTGTGTTATAGGGACATATACATCTCTGCGGCAAATAGTGGAAGCATTTTGATGCTGGTTGTTGTTTGAAGTCTATCTGTTTTATTGATTAGCCTAACAGTTACATAAAGATGTCCCTTCTCTTCCTGTAAAACATTGTGTGTTTGCAAACTTAAAATTTTCATAACTTTCATGCGGTGGCAAGCAGAGCAACCAAGGACTAAGAACAATGGTAGACACAGTACCGGTAAATGATTTTATCGAACGTCAAAAAATCAAATGGTTTAATATTTGGAAAATAGTTTTGAATATTACAAATTTGAGAATGTCTGGTATTCACTGTCGGCTGTATCCAAGTATGCAAGAGGTAAAGTGACAGTGACAGGGGATTACCACAGTCACAACAGGTTAATAGTTGTGGGTGCGTGTGTGTGTGCGTGCGTGCGCATGCATGCGTGTGTGCATGTGTACGTGTGTGTGTGTGTGTGTGTGTGTCATGGGAAAGGTAGGTTTAGAGATGGTGGAGACAGCATGGAAGACAGAAAGAGACAATTTTCTAGCCACGGAAATAAATAACATGTTTTTGTCAGAAACAAATATGTTGTAAGAGTCGACTAATTGTCGGTTTCCTTCAGTTGGAGTGCATCAGCCTGAGAGACAAGAAACCAACAGTCTGCATACAGATAAGCCAGATCTGTAAAATGGATGTGCAACTCAAGTTCTGGAACAAGACCAAAGTCCAGAAGTGGACAAACAACCAGAACTTCTGCTGGAGTTTGTAGTACTAATGGCAATATACATGAACAAAACAAGACGAGATGTTGAGGTTCCATGGTGAGGTTGACTGATTAACATTCGACTCCACCAGGACATCATGCCGATTGATAATCACCCGGTGACACAAAGTGCTACCACTCAGATGAGGTTCACCCGGAGACAGGTCACAGAAACCCCGTTCATCCCATAGGTTGGGTTACATAGGGCCCCTGACAACAGCCGGGGTGAGGCTTATAACAATAAAAAAAATGCTGCCCTACATTGGCACAGATTGTTATTCTGCATGGTGAGGTAACAAAACATTTTACTGTACCTCACCATTGTAGGCTATACGGTTTTTACAAGTTTGATTACCTAAACTATCATCCTCAGGAACCTTGCCAGTTTCTCCACTTGTTGCGATCTCCAACGTTATGCATCCATTTTTATGCTGGCACCTTCCATGCCATGACAAAAGACAGTTTTTTAAATGTTTTGTCTATCTTTGGGAGCCACTGAGGTGATGGCTAGACTCTTTGCCTGTGGATCCAACAGTCTTGGAGATCAGCAGATTTGGATGTTTTTTCCCTACACAAATGACCTTGGCTTCCAGATTGACCCAGTCTTAAATGTGTACCATATAAGGTCCATGGAAGTAAAGGTCGCCAGCATGATGTAGACGACAGCACCCACTATGTGCCAGTTGGTCTATAAACTATAGGTCTGGCACTAAATACCCAGTACGCTAGAAGGCATGGAGAATACCCAGTACGCTAGAAGGCACGGAGAGGGGTACTTTGCTTGACTGTCCTATCTCTCTTCCCATCAAGTTGTGACATTTTACAGGTTTTCTCTTCGTAATAAGGATGGACACTTTCTCATGTTTGTGGTCAGTTGTCTGTGGGTTTTAACCTCTGTCAGAACCTCTGGATTACTTAGTCTCTCTGTCCACATAATGTTCTGTATTCTTTCATTGAATTTCTGATTTGTGTTAATTGCTTACCGATTGTTCAGGGTTGATTCACATGGCACCCTCAACAAATCTAGATCTCTTCTAGTTGTCCCGCCTCCTGTATTCTCATGTCCATAGTTTTCCCAATGTCCTGTGTCCATCTTTGTGCTGGTCAAACCCTGCCTCTTCTACAACACATACCCTCCAGTATTTTATGTGTCAATGCTACTTGTCATGTTTAATCTGACAGATGTATTTCAGTTTCTGAAACAACACAATCTATTTATTTTTTATGTATGTAATACTGATATTTTATTTAAAACACCCCAAGTCTATGAACCCAATAACGTTTCATTTCCCCATTTTAAATGAGCAATCTGTTTTTAATCTGAATACTCCTTGCATTATGGTTCTGTCTGCCTTACTGGAAATACATATTTGACAGTATTCTTTTACATAAATCATCAATATATGTTCATGCCATATTGTACGTCATTCATTTTGTTCTAAAATAGTCATTGGTAGTTGAAAACTATTTTCTACATTATGAAAGAAGAAACATTGTCAAATAAATTCCTGTAATAAAATCTGTCCTGTCATGCAACAAGATGTAGAATGTTTCTGCTAGTGACATCGCTGGTGACTGTACAGCTGCAGAATGTTTCTGCTAGTGACATCGCTGGTGACTGTACAGCTGCAGAATGTTTCTGCTAGTGTCATCACTGGTGACTGTACAGCTGCAGAATGTTTCTGTTAGTGTCATCGCTGGTGACTGTACAGCTGCAGAATGTTTCTGTTAGTGTCATCGCTGGTGACTGTACAGCTGCAGAATGTTTCTGTTAGTGTCATCGCTGGTGACTGTACAGCTGCAGAATGTTTCTGCTAGTGACATCGCTGGTGACTGTACAGCTGCAGAATGTTTCTGTTAGTGTCATCGCTGGTGACTGTACAGCTGCAGAATGTTTCTGTTAGTGTCATCACTGGTGACTGTACAGCTGCAGAATGTTTCTGCTAGCGACATCGCTGGTGACTGTACAGCTGCAGAATGTTTCTGCTAGTGACATCGCTGGTGACTGTACAGCTGCAGAATGTTTCTGTTAGTGTCATCGCTGGTGACTGTACAGCTGCAGAATGTTTCTGTTAGTGTCATCGCTGGTGACTGTACAGCTGCAGAATGTTTCTGTTAGTGTCATCGCTGGTGACTGTACAGCTGCAGAATGTTTCTGTTAGTGTCATCTCTGGTGACTGTACAGCTGCAGAATGTTTCTGCTAGTGACATCGCTGGTGACTGTACAGCTGCAGAATGTTTCTGCTAGTGACATCGCTGGTGACTGTACAGCTGCAGAATGTTTCTGTTAGTGTCATCGCTGGTGACTGTACAGCTGCAGAATGTTTCTGTTAGTGTCATCGCTGGTGACTGTACAGCTGCAGAATGTTTCTGTTAGTGTCATCGCTGGTGACTGTACAGCTGCAGAATGTTTCTGTTAGTGTCATCACTGGTGACTGTACAGCTGCAGAATGTTTCTGTTAGTGTCATCACTGGTGACTGTACAGCTGCAGAACTTAAATACACAGATGAAATGGCTCTCCTTTAACAGTGTTAAGGGATTAGAACAGTCATTCTGATCTGTCAAAAGACTCTGGGAAGATCAAATTATATTATATATTGTCAGTTTTTTCAAAAAAGAAATAAAGAAGAAAAAAGCAACTATAATGTAACATTTTACATTCCCGAAACGGTATTGGTTATAGACCTTCCCCGCCCTCCCCCCTCCTACAACCATGACCCCCAAGAAAGCTGATGTATCAGCTGCAAGATCAGTCTTTTGTGAGACACTGACAGTGCACAGAGAAGACACACTCTGTAAGCTCCTAGTGAGTGACACTTCTCTGGATGAATCATCTCAGTTAGGGCCCTTGTAACTGGAAAGTAGAGAAAAGGATCCCATCTCACTGACTGCAGGCTGAGATGGTTCTGACTTGTAGCTGACCAGGCCCCAGTGAGGACTCAGCATCCACAGCCTTCAACTTATACTGGGAGAAACAGAGCACTAGTTTTGTCCTAAGTGCAGGGACATCAGTGCTGTGTCATCAGTCATGACTTCATGCTACTCAACAGAACCAATGTTCATATACATTCATAACATTAATGTTAATGATATTTTATACATTTGTTTTGTAATATAGACATGTACATTCCAAGGATCCATATTTAAACCAGTGGTGGTATTCTGAGAATTTCTTTGTAATATTGTGGAGCCTGAAATATGTTTGGTTGACCGGCTATTATTGTGTACAGTTGATTAAATGTGTATATTCAACCCACGGAAGTGTGTGCAAGTTGTGATAAGACTTAATCGTTTTGAGTTGTTGATGTGAGGCCTGCTACCTCATCCTATGGATCTCTTTATCTTTAGCTGGATAACCCAACCTGTCACAGACAAGTCTGTAAGGGGGATTCAAATGTTGAGGTCCTATGCTGCACTGAGAAATTAAAGCTAAATGAATACAGAAATCATGTTAATAATTGTATGTTTTGATGTATACTATCACTAAACATTTACAGCTATTATACACAGTTTCCCACTATCACTTAGGGTTTCCCACTATCAGGGTTTCCCACTATCACTCAGGGTTTCCCCACTATCACACAGGGTTTCCCCACTATCACACAGGTTTCCCACTATCACTCAGGGTTTTCCCACTATCACACAGGGTTTCCCACTATCACTCAGGGTTTCCCACTATCACTCAGGGTTTCCCACTATCACACAGGGTTTCCCACTATCACTCAAGGTTTCCCACTATCACTCAGGGTTTCCCACTATCACTTGGGTTTCCCACTATCACTCAGGGTTTCCCACTATCACTTGGGCTTTCCCACTATCACTCAGGGTTTCCCACTATTACACAAGTTTCCCCACTATCACTCAGGGTTTCCCCACTATCACTCAGGGTTTCCCCCTATCACTCAGGGTTTCCCCCTATCACTCAGGGTTTCCCCACTATCACTCAGGGTTTCCCACTATTACACAAGGTTTCCCACTACCACTCAGGGTTTCCCACAATTACACAAGGTTCCCCACTATCACTCAGGGTTTTCCCACTATCACTCAGGGTTTCCCACTATCACTCAGTTTCCCACTATCACTCAGTTTCCCACTATCACTCAGTTTCCCACTATCACTCAGGGTTTCCCACTATTACACAAGGTTTCCCACTATCACTCAGGGTTTCCCCACTATCACTCAGTTTCCCACTATCACTCAGTTTCCCACTATCACTCAGTTTCCCGATATCACTCAGGGTTCCCCACTATCACTCAGGGTTCCCCACTATCACTCAGGGTTTCCCACTATCACTTG